ATTACACGTGGTCTAACCATAGACATAGGAGGCATGGACTTATATTGAGAGACTAGATCGATGTCTTGCCAATGAAGCCTGGCTAGAATCGTACCCCTCAGTAATAGTAACTCACCTCCCAAAAACTTACTCCGACCATAATCCGCTCTTAATCAAGCTAACAAATTCAATTTCAGGTAACTCTAACAAACCCTTTAGGCTATAAAAATATTGGCTATGTCACCCAGAGTTTAGTAAGGTGGTTGAACAAAGTTGGGATAATAGGAATTTCAGTGATACACAAAGGTGTTTCCAGACTAACATTAAAGAATGAAGTGCCCAAAATTTTGGAAATATTTTAGCAAATAAGAAAAAGGATACTGGCCAGACTTAGAAGAATCCAAAACTCACCTAGTTATGCTACTAGCATGTTCCTTAGAAACTTGGAACATACTTTACTCACAGAGTATAATAATACTCTTCGCCTTGAGGAGGAACCATTGGAATATTAGATCTCGTGTTAATTGGCTCAATGAGGGTGATTCCAATACAATATTCTTTCATATTTCTGTCCTCAATAGGCGTAGGCGCAACAACATTTCCTTTTTTAAAGATAACGCTGGAAATTGGATAACGGACCGTCACAAAATCATTGATCACGCTCACCAATATTTTCAAAATGTGTTCACAACCAATAACACCCAATCAGATTGGAAAGCTATTAAAAATACACACACAAATTTTGCCAACATCGACCTCTCCCCACTCGATAGGCCATTGGACATCCAAGAAATCATTTCTGCAGTCTATTCTTTCAAGCCATACAAGGCCCCAGGTCCTGATGGCATATACCCCATTTTCTATCAAAGATATTGGAATATTTTGGGTCCCTCTATTATCCAGCTATGTAAGGAAATATTTGCCAGCACCAAAATTCCTGACCAAATGTATCACACGTTATTATGTCTCATTCCCAAATTCAAATGTGCAAATAACGTCAAAATTTTCTGACAATTAGGCCTCTGTAATACTACATACAAAACAATCACCAAAATAATTATTAACCCATCAAACCTTTTCTAAATGAACTCGTCAACCCATGCTAATCTAGCTTCTTAAAGGGGAGGAGGGCATGTGATAATGCTATCATTATCCAAGAAGCCGTTAACCAACTTAAAAAAAGGAAAGGGGTGAATGGATAACTATTAATCAAATTGATCTAGAAAAAGCTTTTGACAGATTAGAATGCTCTTTTGTCTACAAGGTCTTAACCTTCTTTCAGTTCCCACCAAAAATTACTACCCTAATCATGAATTGCATCTCCACAAACAAGATAGTTGTCTTGGTGAATGGTGCACAAACTAATTTCTTTGAGCCCACGAGGGGTACTAGACAATGGAATCCTTTATCTCCTTATTTATTCATATTATGCATGAAATTGCTGTCTATATACATCAACCACCAAGTTGACCTAACTCTGTGGGAGCCCATTAGAATTGGGACCTCATTTGTCACACCTTTTATTATGCAGATGACCTGACATTCATGGCACAGACCAATGAAAAAACCATCAATATCATTCACCACTCTTTAACCACTTTTTGTTCTTTATCTAGCCAAAAAATAAATAACACCAAATCCAAAATCCTCTTTTCAAGTAACTGCTCAATTGCCATCAAGGATACAATTGACTTATTCAACATCAATCCAACAACTCAATTTGGCAAGTATTTGGGATTTTCTATCCTCAATAACAAATCAAAACCTTCCGACTTCCAATTTGTAATTGATAATATGCATAACAAACTTTCAAATTTGAAAACAAATTTCCTAACTCTTGTGGGCCGCACAATCTTGGCAAAGGCTGCCCTCAATGTCATTCCAAATCATACTATGCAATACATATCCCTCCCAAAAAAGATCATACATCAAATTGATAAAATCCAGCGTGACTTTATTTGGGGCACAACTTCTCACAAAAAAAGGATCCACTACATCTCATGGGTTGTTGTAACCCTTCCTGAAAAATTAGGAGGACTTGGAATCCCTAAAGCAGCCCATAAAAACCAAGCCATACTAGCAGGACTAGCATGGAGATTATTCATTAATCCGTCGACAATGTGGGAAAACACCCTTATCCAAAAATATAGTCCTAGATCAAATGTCAAAACCGCAACCGCTTCCTTCATTTGGCAAAATATTTTGAGAGGGTGGAAAACCATTACCAAAGGAATCGCATGGGATGTTGGCAATGGGAAATTCATCAACTTCTACTTTGGATGTTGGACACCCAGCACCACAAATATCCCCTCTTCCATTCGTGGTCCTCTTAACAAAAATGATAGCAACTTAACACTTGCCCAGATTTGGAGAAATGACCAGTGGAACTGGTCCCAAATCTCCTTTGAACTCCCAGATAATATTAAAAATGATATCTCTTCCATCTCCCTTTAAACAAACCCCCTGGCAAAAGACACACCCATTTAGTCGCTTAACACAAATGGCACCTTATCCACCCATTCAATCTACACACTGCTTCATCAACACACCCAAATTGGCACTGATTATGATTGAATTTGGAAGATCCATACCCTTAACAAGATCAAATTTTTTCTCTGTCAATGCTTTAAAAATAGACTCCCCGCTAAATCTTACCTTCATCAAATTGGAGTCACTAACGACAATATTTGCCCGGTTTGTAGAGAAGCAGAAGAAACCATCACCCATATATTTCTCCATTGCACAGTTGCACACACATTATGGAACACTAGGGGAATCGACACTAATGCTCTCCCTAATAACAACCACTGGTTGTTATCAATTAAAAACCTCTCAATACCCATTACACACAACTGCATAACTTGGGTGGATGTATTCCCATTTGCAATTTGGCACCTCTGGTTAAATAGAAACAATAACTGCTTCCACAACCTCTCTAAACCTCTTAATTACCAAATGGTTAACATACGGACCATTGAATTTAAACTACTAGCTTGTAAATACAAAAGCCCCAGGCACAAAATTCTTATCCGCATCAAATGGTACCCACCACCACCCCAAACATATAAACTAAACATAGATGCTTCCTTCTTGGATATCCATAAGCCTGGAGGTATTAGAGGCATTATAATAAATACTCAAGGGGACATGATAGTAGGCTTTACTAACAGAATCAAAGCTTATAACCCTACACATGCAGAGTTACTAGCACTTCATACATAGCTAAAGCTGGCAAATGACAAAAAGCTAGCCCCCTGGAGATTGAAACCGATTCGACGGATATAATCCAACTACTTGAGCATAATAGCTTCCCTGCCTATACTAACACTATCATTGAATGCAGGTGCTTGTTGAAGAAATTGGGGAATCCAGTGGTCGGCATAGCTTCCGCGAAGGAAACAAGGTGGCACGCGTTTTGAGTAAATTGGGCTCCAAACAACAACCAACCTCTACTACACATATTTTGAACTTCCCACCAGACCCAGTCAAGAGGGTGATCCAAGAAGACAAGAATGCAACATCTACTACTAGACTATTATCAAACTCTATATGTAACAAACTAGCAATGTTTGGAAACCTAGGTATTATTCCTACTATTAGTAATAGTGATGTAATGTCACTGTAGGCTATTATTAATAATATTATCCACTTCTCCAAAAAAAAAAAGGTCGTTTTAGATTAAAAGGGTAGTTTGGTAATTTTAGCTAAAATGGAACATAGTGATTGATTATGTGTCTTGACTAAATTGCCCTTTGATTATATCATCATCAGCCACTATACATTCTCCACAACAACCGCACTTGCTGCTTGTAGGAAGAGAAGAGTAAGATGTGGAACGATAAGAATTTCTTTTACATTCCAAACTTCTCCTCTCATTGGTCCTGGAGAAGCTCATACTTTGGAGCTTGGAATAGTATGAAATAGAATGGTGTCATGTTAGGCACATAATATAGCTGCTGAGGAGCATTCTCTATTTACGGATTAGGCATTTTTGCACAAATAGAGTATTTTCCCTAAAGATTATTAGTTGATAAAAGATTATTGAGTTTTTTAAAATTAGAAAAAAAAAAAAGATTGTGTAGTAAATCTTAAAGTTTATGTAGCCTTTTGTTTTCTTTCTAAATTTTCAATAAAAGACTTCAACTTAATGGGTTTGCTTATCTCTTTTATATTATGAAAGATATAGAAAATAAATAAGATATTGATTTGGGGGGAAGGGAGTTTTTGTTAGGGCTAGGAGCAAAAGTTAAAACTTTATTAACAGTTGAGGTATATTCACCAATGGCATTTAGCAAATAAAAAAACCAAAAAGATATTTATATAGCTGGGCTAACAACGGACTTTGGCCCTCCAAAACCACATGCGCTTCTAGGGGCGGGAGTTCGGTATTTCGGTTCGGTATTTAAGAATTTCGGTTCGATATTTCGGTATTCGATTTATTAATTGTGTATACCAAATACCATACCAAAATATTTCGGTACGGTTCGGTATTTCTTATTTTGGTTCGGTACGGTTTTGGTACAGTTTCGGTTTAACAATCAATGAATAATCAATGCTAACAGTGCACATGCACAATTGAAATTTTCACTCTAAAAGAATCTGTTTTCCGATATGTAACAGTGCACAACTGCACATGGCTGATCTGAATCTGATGGCACATGCACAATTGAATAAGTGAAAAGCAAAAGCTGAACAAGACAACAACTTCTTTACAATCTGCAGTTGCACGCCAGTATACTGTATATCATATTATACAATATTACAATCTGCATTCTGCAAGCCAGTATTAGTATACAAGTGAAAAGCAAAAGCTGGCCAACTGCACAATGCACATTACACAACTATATTAAACAACTTAAACACAATTGACAGTTCAATACTGCAATCAACTGCACATTACACAACTTAACACTTAACACAGTACACAATTGAATCTGTACACAACTACACAACACGTTACACAACTTAACACTTAATACAGTACACAGCCAAACCATCTGAACAGCATCTGCAAGCATGAACTAAGATGCAGCAGCAGAGAAACCAGTGATTGAAATTGTGGCCAAGTGTACCAGGAACACAGCAAATCCAATAGGCAATGGTGCCAAAAGAGGGACATGTGAATCCCTAGCACTACGCTTAGCATCAGTAGCAGAGAAAACAATGTAAACAAGAACAAAAGTGCCAACGATCTCAGCACCAAGACCTGATCCCTTTGTGTAACCAAGATTTACAATATTGGCACCACCACCCTTTGTTTGATAAAGAGTTTTGCCGAACCCTTTGACCAAACCAGCACCACAGATAGCACCAAGACACTGCATCACCATGTAGAACACTGCCCTTGTCAACGACAGTTTCCTTGCCAAGAACAGCCCAAAGGTCACTGCTGGATTTATGTATCCTCCAGAAATGCCAGCAGTACAGTAGACAAGGGCAAAGATCATGCCCCCAAAAGCCCAAGCAATGCCTTGAATACCAACAGTGGGGCATTTGGACTCAGACTTTGAAATGAGTTTCGAATATAAAATTAATCTTCGCTAAAGAACATCGCTAGAAATCTTCATCAAATTCATTTCCATCGCTAGAAAGTAGAAACATACCTTTGAAAATTGATACTATCGCAAGTTCGCAACAGCAGCATCTTCTTTGCCCGGAATTTGTGAGGAGTGAGGAGTCGGAGCTCGGAACCTTGGTAAATTCTTTACGATTAACAACCTTGGTAAAAATCCAACAAAGCCCATCACAACAAAACCGATCGTTGTACGAGTAGCAACCTTGGTAAATTCTTTACGATCAGGCTTGTGACATCTTTTGACGAGCCTAACGTTGTCTTTGGCGAAATCTCTAAGAGGATCGAACACAGAATCGAGAGCGTCCATTTGAATTAGATCTGATCTGAAAGAAGAAGCAGATCAGGATTTCTCTTTTGTATCTGAATTGGACAAATGACCTTTAGAGTTTAGGCTTGGGCTTGGGCATAAGAATTAAGATGGGCTTGGGTGTTTGGGGCTGGGGCGATGGGCTGGGTGTTTGCCTGTTTGGGTTTGGGGCTGGGGCGATGGGCTGGGTGTTTGGGGCTGGGGCGATGGGTTGGGCAGTAATAATTAAGAAAATGTCTTTTAAAAATCGGATTTTCGGTATTTCGGTATACCGAAATTTCAGAATTTTAATACCGAAGACCGTACCGAAATACCGAAATAGCAATACCGAATTGGACCGAAATACCGGAAAAAACCGAAACCGAAATACCGAATTAATTCGGTCCGGTTCGGAATTCGATTTTTCGGATTTTATGCCCACCCCTATGCGCTTCTGTAACAAAGGATATTTACAAGACAACAGAGTTTTTTTCTTTTTTCTTTTTTGCTTTTATGACAGAGGATTTTGAATAGAAAAAAATGCTACAAAATATCTTACTAATATTTAAAGTAATTTTTATTTACTACTTATATTTTACAGCTGTAAATCACGTGCCCGTTCCTCAATTATCCAACTCTAACTCATAGCTGCTCGCCTGCTCCCCATGTTCTATAGTGTAAGCTTTCTGATTTTTTTATAATTATTAGGGTATTTTTTGCTACTAAACAAGAAAATGTTCTACCTTGATAGATTATTTTCTAATCAGTTTTCAAAATTTAATTAGGTAACAAAGAGTCCATATTTAGAATTATATTGTGGGTTCTATTGAAAGCAATCCACTCAATATCTAAAAGTGCAGCTTATGTTTCAACTGTATTGTTAGTGCACAAGTGAAGAGCATTGGCATACGCCATGACAAGCTTTCCACTGCCATCCCTAATAATACCCAATACACCCACTGTTTCTATGACATCACTACTCCAATCCCTGTCAAGCTTAGACTACATGAAGGAGGAAGTCACCATATCATCTTGAAAATTGGAGGTTTAAAAAAAAAAAAAATACAGATCAAGTGGACCTTTGCTTAAATTAGGAAGTGATTACAGCTATACTAATTTTTAAGTTATGACCATGGTTTAAATACTTTGCAAATACTGACTAGGTTTTAAACATTAGCCTTAAGAGTAGCTAATGATGCACTTCTCCACGTTATCAAATTTATTTATGAAGATAGATACTTAGAAATGTAAAATGAAAAGCAAATAAGTTTTTTAATGCTGTAACAAGATGTTAGTATTTTTAGGCGATCTATAATAAAAGAATGTCACAGTAAAATAAACAATTTTTTTCATAAATAAAATGGTTGGAGTATTAAATAGGAATCTTTCATTTTTCTAGATTAAATATGAATACAAAAAGATTATGAAAGTAATAATATCCGAAACGAGTTGAAATGGCGATTGTCCAAGTGTTAAACGGAAAGATTTGGAGGTATAGCTTTGAGAGGATTAGCCCTGATCCCCTATTACTGCTTATCCTATATCATTTTATGCTTAAGTGACTTGTCGGGAGGTTTTGTTTTTGGTTTCGGAGTTAATTAGGACACTTAGTCCCTAAAATGGAAGCTTAAATTTTAAGAATTTGACCGTAGTTGGAATTGTATGAAGACGACTACGGAATGAAGTTTCGTCATTTTCGTTAGCCCCGTTGGGTGATTTTGGATTTAGGAGCCTGTCCGGATTGTGATTTGGAGGTCCATAGCTGAATTAGGCTTGAAATAGCAAAAGTTGAATTTTTGGGAAATTTGACCGTGAGTGAACTTTTTGATTTCGGGATCGGATTCCAATTCCGGAAGTTGGAGTAGGTCCATAATGTTAAATATTACTTGTGTGTGAAATATTTGAAGCCAATCGGACGTGATTTGATAAGTTTCGGTATAGGTTGTAGAAGTTTGAAGTTTCAAAGTTCATTAAGTTTGAATTGGAGTGCAATTCATATTTTTAACGTTGTTTGATGTGATTTGAAGGATCAGCTAGTTCATATGATGTTTTAGGACTTGATAGTATATTTGGTTGAGGTCCCGAGGACCTCAGGTGGATTTCGGATGGTTAACGGACTAGAATTGGACTTGTTGGAATTACAGAAAATCTGGTGTTTCAGTTGTTGGTTTCCTTCTATGCACTCACGAGAGGAGTCTCGCGTTCACGAAGGGGTTCTGGTGGCAGGGGAGAAAATTGTGTAATTCGTTCGCGAAGAGGGTCCCGCATTCACGAAGCACTGAAGTCTTAAGTCTACACATTCGCGATTGGGATCTCGCGTTCGCGTAAAGGAACGATCAGATGGGGCTCCAAGCATTTAGCCTACGTGTTCGCGATGAGGGTCCGTGTTCGTGAAGGGTCTGGCAAGTAAATCTCCATGTACGCGAGAGGTCCCTCGCATTTTCGAAGGAGGATTTTTGGCAGTAGAGTTTATGGTGCTTCGCGAACGCGAGGAATCTTCCGTGTTCGCGATGAAGAAAAGACTTTGGGCAGATATAAATATTTCAAATCGAGGGTTTTGTCATTTTCATCATAACTTGAGATAAAGAGCTCGGATTTAGGCGAGATTTGGAGGGATTTTCATAGGCAACGATTGGGTAATAATTCTTGACTCATTTTTGGTTATATCCCACTAATCTATCGTTAATTTTATCTTCTAATTTAATATTTGGGTTGAGAAATTTGAGGAAAAAATTGAAAAGTTCTTCAACCAAATTTTTGGGTTTTGATTAGGATTTGAGTAATTTTGGTATGAGTGAACTTGTTGTTGAATGAGTGTTCGTATTTTATTACTTTTACCTGATTCCGAGACGTGGGTCCAGAACGACTTTTTGGGGCGATTTTTTAATTTCTTGCAAAAGCCTTAATTTTATTAATTAGACTAGTTCTTATAGTTATATTTATGGTATTTAATTACTTTTGGCTAGATTTGGTCATTCGGAGGCGGAAAGTCGTGGAAAAGGTATTCTTATTGATTGATTGAGCTTAGTTCGAGATAAGTGGCTTACCTAACCTTGTGTACGAAAATCCTCTTAGAATTTGGTACTATTGTGACACTTTTATGATATGTGAGTGTCGTGTATGCGAGGTGACGAGTACGTACACGGGCTAATTATTATAAAATTCGATTTTATATTGAACAGTAACCTGTTATATCTTAAATGAGTTATTCCAGCATGTATAGTTATCCTTTTTAGCATAATATTGCATATCTACGTGTCTTAAATGCTTATTTGCAATCTATGCAGCATGCTTAGTTGATTTCTACTTTTCCTTGACTTGTATTTAGTCTTAAACTGTAGGATTTCTTGCTTTTAATTGTTGTTGCCATTGATTTCGAGCTGTGTGTTTACCTTGGGACTATGAGGCGGTACCTCGAGAGATCCCAGTTGCATATTTACTTTTGGGACTACGAGGCGGTATCTCGAGAGATCCCCATTGCATATTTACTTTTTGGAATACGAAGCGGTACCTCGAAAGATCCCCCACTGCATATTTACTTTTGGGACTACGAGGCGGTAACTCGGGAGATCCCATGTTGAGTATACTTTTGGGACTACGAGATAGTATCTCGGGAGTGCCCCTATCATTTACCCCATGTGTTGTGTTGTTATTCTCTGTAAATTTCTCAATTCTAATTCCCACTCTTTCATTATGTTGCTATATCTCCTGTCTTATTTGTTATATTCTAGTAGGGCCCTAACTTGACCTCGTCACTACTCCACCAAGGTTAGGCTTGACACTTACTGGGTACCGTTGTGATGTATTCATGCTACTCTTTTGCACATGTTTTGTGTTCAAACTTAGGTACTTCTTACCGTCCCCGCTATTAGTCGAGAGTTTTGCTATGGATTTCGGAGACTTTAAGGTATATTTGCCAGCATCGTAGACCTCAGAGCCCCCCTCTATCCTTTATGTTATTTTTTCTTATTTTTCATAAACACTGATGTATTGAGACAGCTAGAGTTTTTCCTTAGAGCTTGTGACTTAGGACTACCGGGTCTTTGGGGAGTTGTTCACGCTCAAAATTGTTGGTTTTACTTGTATATGTCGAGTGGCAGTTTCCAGCTACATATATATATATATATNATTGTTAGGCTTACCTAATCTTAGAGGCTAGGTGTCGTCACGACATCTTACTGATGGAGATTTGGTTCATGACAAGTTGGTATCAGAGCTCTAGGTTCATAGGTGTTATGAGTCACAAGCAGGTTTAGTAGAGTCTCGTAGATAGGTACGGAGATGTCTGGACATATCTTCGGGAGGCCATGGAATTGTTAGGAAAATTTCACTTCTTTTGATTCCTTGTCGTGTAAAATTATTGACTTCAGAATGCTAAACTTTTGTCTTCTATTCTCTCACAGATAGTGAGGAAACGTACAGCCGGATCAGATGATTAGGCACCTGCACCCCCTGCTAGGGCCGCTAGATGCTGGGGCCGAGATAGAGGATGCGGACGTCCACACGGTGATGCCAGATTACCCGTGTGAGCTGCTACAAAAGAGCCTCCAGTAGCTCTAGTCAGAGCATGGTCACCTGAGACGCTTGCCATTACAGCAGCTATTTAGGAGACCCTTGCACAGTTTCTGAGCATGCTCGGTACTTTGGCTCAGGCAGGGTTGATCCTACTTGCTCCTGCCACATCTCAGGCTGGGGGAGGAGCACACACTCTCTCCACCCGCACCCCAGAGCAGCGGGTTTAGGTCATCCAGGTTTTAGAGGTCATACTAGTGCAGCTGGTAGCCCCAGTTCGACCCGAGGGTAGGGCAGCAGTTTTTGAGGAGGAGCAACTCAGGATCAAGAGGTACAAGAAGTACTACCCTCCTACTTTCAGTGTCATGTCGTCAGAGGATGCCCAGGGTTTTCTTGAGGAGTGCTATCGTATCCTCCATACTATGGGTGTTGTGGAGACGAGTGGGGTTTCTTTCACTACGTTCCAGCTTAGGGGAGCAGCCTATCAGTGGTGGCGTGCTCATGAGTTAGGTAGCGCGACTGAGATAGCTTCACTCACATGGACTCAGTTCTCGGATATGTTCTTGACTGAGTATGTTCCCTAGAGTCTCTGAGATGCATGGCGCGCAGCATTTGAGCAGTTGCGCCAGGGTGCCTTCACTGTGTCAGAGTGTGTGGTTCACTTCAGTGATTTGGCTAGACATTCCCCATCCTTGGTTGATACAGTTCGAGAGAGGGTCCATCGGTTTATCGAGTGGCTCAACCCCAGTATCAAGCTTAGTATGGCCCGGGAGTTGGAGATGGATATTGCGTACCAGCAGGTTGTAGGGATTGCTAGGAGATTGGAGGGTATGCTTGCTCGGGAGAGAGAGGAGAGGGAGGAGAAGAGGTCTCGAGAGTCTGGAATTTATAGTGGTACTCGTTTCCCAACTGCAGTTCATCATGGTAGGGGCTATGTGAGTCACCCTGTTCATTCAGCACTTCTAGCTGCCAGTAATATTCCGGCCACTCCTAGGCCCTAGGATCCTTATTATGCACTACCATTTTAGTGTACCTCCTGCACGGGGTGCTTTCAGCGGTCAGTACAGCCGACCTGGCCTAAGCCAGCCACGCCCTCCGAGAGCTTGTTTTGGGTGTGGCGACACTCGCTATATGGTATGGGATTTCCCGAAACTTAGGAGGGGTGCATCTCCAAAGACTACTCAGGCACCGCGTGCACTACCGGGTCCTCAGGCTATGATTACAGCACCAGCTACCACTCCACCTACTCAGCCAGCTCGAGGTGGAGGTCGGGTAGGTAGAGGTCACCCTAGAGGGGCAGGGCAGGCCAGGCCAGGTATTATGCCATTCCTACTCGTACAGAGGCAGTTGCATCTGACTCTATCATTACAGGTATTGTTCTGGTCTGTCATAGAGATGTGTCATCTTATTTGATCCAAGATCCACTTATTCCTATGTGTCATATTATTTTTCCATGTATTTGGGTGTATCTCGTGATCCTTTGAGTTCTCCTATTTATGTGTCTACACCTGTGGGAGATTCTATTGTTGTTGACCGTGTGTATCGGTCATGTTTTGTTGTTCTTAGTGGTTTTGAGACCAAAGCCGATTTATTATTGCTTAGTATGGTAGATTTTGATATTATTTTAGGCATAGACTAGTTGTTACCCCCATTATGCTATTCTTGATTGCCACGCCAAGACCGTCATGCTAGTTATGCCAGGATTGCCACGATTAGAGTGGAGAGGTATCTTAGATTATACTCCCAGCAGAGTTATTTCATTTTTTAAAGCTCAATGAATGGTTGAGAAGGGGTGTGACGCATATCTAGCTTATGTGAGAGATGTCAATATTGATACCCTTACGGTTGAGTCCGTTCCAGTAGTGAGGGATTATCCCGATGTATTTCCAGCTGATATTCTGGGCATGCCACCCAAATTAGATATCGACTTTGGTATTGATTTGTTGCTGGGCACTCAGCCCATCTCTATTCCTCCATATCGTATGGCTCCTCCTGAGTTGAAGGAGTTGAAGGAAAAGTTACAGGAATTGTTTGATAAGGTCTTTATTTGTCCCAGTGTGTCACCTTGGGTATCCTAGTCTTGTTTTTGAAGAAGAAGAAGAAGAAGAGGGATGGTTCTATGCGTATGTGCATTTATTATTGTCAGTTGAACAAAGTTACAGTGAACAACAGGTATCCATTGCCTCTTATTGATGGCCTATTTGATCAGTTACAGGGAGCCAGAGTGTTTTCCAAGATTGACTTGAGTTCAAGTTATCATCAGTTGAAGATTCGGGAGCCAGATATCCCGAAAACTACTTTCAGGACTCGGTATGGTCACTACAAGTTCCTTGTGATGTCATTTGGGATGACCAACGCCCCACTGAGTTCAGGCATTTGATGCACAGTGTATTTTGGACCTATCTTGACTCAATCATCATTGTATTTATTGACGACATTCTGGTGTACTCTCGGAGTCAGGAGGATCATGAGCATCACCTGAGGACTGTGTCTCAGATCTTGAGAGAAAAGAAGTTATATGAAAAATTCTCAAAGCGTGAGTTCTGGCTAGATTCAATGGCATTTTTGGGACATGTAGTGTCGAGTGAGGGGATCAAGGTAGATCCGAAAAAGGTTGAAGCAATGTAGAGTTGGCCTAGACTGACCTCAGCTACAAAGATCCGAAGTTTTCTTGGTTTGGCAGGGTAATACCATCGATTTGTAGAGGGTTTCTCATCTATTGCAGCACCTATGACCAGGCTGACCCAGAAGGGTGATCCATTCAGGTGGACAGACAAGTGTGAGGAGAGCTTTCAAAAGCCCAAGACAGCTTTGACTACGGCCCTCATCTATGACCTTGAGTAAGCAGCTATTATTCATGCCTTGATGATTTGGCGACACTATTTGTATGGTGTCCCTTGTGATATCTATACCAATCACCGGAGTTTGTAGCATCTGTTCAAACAGAAGGATCTTAACTTGCATCAACGGAGGTGGTTAGAGCTACTTAAAGATTATGATATCACAATTCTATACCATCTCGGGAAGGCCAATATAGTGGTCGATGCCTTGAGTCACAGGGCGGAGAGATTGGGGAGCTTAGTATATCTACCAGTAGCAGAGAGGCCATGGGCATTAGATGTTCAGGCCTTGGCCAACCAGTTTGTTAGATTGGATATTTCTGAATTGAGTCGAGTTTTGGCTTGTGTGATCTCCCAGTCTTCTCTTTATGATCGTATCAGGGAGCATCAGTATAATGACCCCCATCTGCTTGTCCTTAAGGACACGATTTAGCACGGTGATGATAAGGAGGTCACTATTGGAGATGATGGTGCATTGAGGATGCAAGGCAGGCTATATGTGCCTAATGTAGATGGTTTGTATGAGTTGATTCTCTAGGAGGCTCACAGTTCGCAGTACTCCATTCATCCAGGTGTTGCGAAGATGTATCAGAAATTGAGGCAGCATTATTGGTGGAGGAGAATGAATAAGGACATAGTAGAGTATGTAGCTCGGTGTCTAAATTTCCAGCAGGTGAAGTATGAGCATCAGCGTCCAGGTGGATTGCATTAGAAACTAGAGATTTCGGAGTAGAAATGGGAGCGGATCACTATGAATTTTGTTGTTGGGCTTCCATAGACTCACATGAAGTTTGATGCAGTTTGGGTGATTGTGGATAGGTTGACCAAGTCAGCTCATTTCATTGCAGTGATGACTAATTATTCTTCCGAGCAGCTGGCTCGAGTTTATATTCGCGAGATTGTCATGATTCATGTTGTGCTAGTATCTATCGTCTCTGACTAGGTTACACAATTTACATCACGATTCTGGAGGGCCGTATGGCATGAGTTAGGTACTTGGATTGAGTTAAGTACAACATTGCACCCTCAGATGGATAGACAGTCCGAGCGCACTATTTAGACACTGGAGGACATGTTCCGTGCGTGTGTGATGGAGTTTGGGGTTCCTGCGATCAGTTCTTGCCACTTGTGAAGTTTGCCTATAACAACAGTTATCAGTCGAACATTCAGATGGCACCGTATGAGGATTTTCATGGTAGGCGGTGTCGGTCTCCAGTGGGTTGGTCCAAGCCCGGTGAGTCTAGGTTATATGGTACTAAATTGGTTCAGGATGCCTTGGAAAAGGTTAAGGTGAGTCAGGATCGACTTCGCACAACCCAGTCCAGACAAAAGAATTATGCAGATCGGAAGGTTCGCGATGTTGCATTCATGGTTGGGTAGCGGGTCTTGCTCCGGGTCGTCCATGAAAGGTGTAATGAAGTTCGGGAAGAAGGGCAAGTAGAGTCTAAGGTTTATTGGCCCATTCGAGGTGTTGCGGAGAGTTGGGGAGGTTGCTTTTGAGATTGCCTTGCCTCTCAGTCTAGCAGGAGTTCATCCAGTATTCCTTTTTTTTATGTTCTAAAAGTATCACGACGTTCCATTTCATGTGTTGGATTTTAGCTCAGTCCAGTTGGACAAAGATTTGTCTTATGTTGAGGAGCCAGTGGTTATTTTAGATAGGCAGGTTTGAAAGCTGAGGTCAAAGAACATTGCTTTAGTGAAGGTTCGGTGGAGGGGTCAGCCAGTTGAGTAGGCGACTTGGGAGACCGAGCATGATATGCGCAGCCGTTATCCTCATTTTTTCACCACTTCAGGTATGTCTCTATGCTCGTTCAAGGACGAACAATTGTTTTAATAGGGGGATGATGTAACGACTCGGCCGGTTATTTTGAGAGTATTAGCCCCGATCCCCTATTTACTGCTTCTCCCATATATTTTTATGCTTATGTGACTTGTTGGGAGGTTTTGTTTTTGGTTTCGGAGTGAATTGGGACACTTAGTCCCTAAAATGGAAGCTTAAGTTCTAGGAATTTGACGGTAGTTACAATTGTATGAAGACGACTCTAGAATGGAGTTTTGTCAGTTTTATTAGCTCTGTTGGGTGATTTTGGACTTATGAGCCTATATGGATTGTGATTTGGAGGTCCGTAGCTAAATTAGGCTTAAAATGGCAAAAGTTGAATTTTTGGGAAGCTTGACCGGGAGTGGACTTTTTGATATTGGGGTCGAATTTCAATTCCAGAAGTTGGAGTAGATTTGT